TCCCCTACGGCTTTGTTGATAGTCTCTGAATTGAATAAGAGGAGACCTAATCTTGGAATGGAAACAGGACATCATCTTAATGGGGACTCTGAAATTCCCCTCGCTCCATTTTATGCTCTTTTTGTTTTTGTTCTCGCAGGTACACCATTGGAAACCTCTTCTTCCCTTTAACCCTTAGACTACGACTTTTTTAGAATCGAGTTATAAATGTGTTCTGCGTTGCAATTATCCCTCCCAGCAACAGGCAACCAGCTGTAGAAATTTGGCTGATGTACGTTGGGTGTGACCTGGGATTTGATCTAGGGACCATGCGCGCGGTAGCGGCCCGTCTTGTCATAACACCATTTCCGCTCGGATGATTTTTTTGTTCAATAAATTGGCAATTAATGAGCTTACAACCACACATTTTTTTACAATATTAAAGTCTTCAATGACCCGAAAATTTTTACAAAAAAAGTTTGAAAAGGTCAACATTATATGGTCTATGAATGGTACGGAGTAAAACATGATATACACAAGGGCACGTTGCAAGCAGCACACATTATTTTTGTACGAGTTTCTTTCTTTGACATCGCGCAGTATCTACATCGCCGACGCGTTTTTAACTGTAGTGGCATATGGTCCCCAACGTTGATGATCCTCCTGAAATTTTTTGGTGGCCTCCCCATGCCGGGCTTGCGCCTGTTAGCCGTCCTTTCCCTCCCCTGCGCAATCATTTGCTGAGCAAGAGGAACAAGGAATTTGATCAGCTTCGTTTTCTCGTGATGGATTTCCTGATATATTATCCATGCGTTTACAACCGCCACCTGTAGTATTTTATAGTACACCTTACCACCATTTTCTGGAACGTCTATTGAAGTCGTAAAGTGCACATTTCTGATCAGACAGATCTACTCCGCCCATTATGCTGCTGTAGAAGGAGACAGCTTCAGGGCATTCAACTTCTTTTCGCGATCCATCCTTCATTGTGCGCAACACATGCGTTGTAGTCAGCGTGACAATTGCTGACTACCAGGACCTCCTTGCAGTCTTTCCAACGGGCACACAGCGTACCAGCTCCATTTACCGCAAACTCAAAGCTGCCACGTTCGCCAAGCTTTTCTGAAATTTTGGGAACATCCTTTCGCGAAGAGTTAACTGTGCCCACTGCTGGGAACGAAATAGAATCCATGAGCCTCACGGAAGTGGAGAATCGGTCGTAACTGAATGCGACTGTTACATCTTGTCGAACAGGCAGCTTCTTTACGACGTATTCTCCAACAGTTCCGTCTATACTTGATGTTTCCTTTCCGGCATAGATGTTCAGGTCGTAGACGTATCCCGTTTCAGCACCACATCTTTGCCACAGTTTTATGCCTCTTTTTACAGGCTTCAAAGGCATGTACTGTTTCATTGAAGACCGTCCTTCTTTGAACTTTACCATCGACTCGTCGATGGACTGGAAACAGCTCTCACTCCGCGCCCGGGGAAAGGTTGGTTTTCGACCTTCCCCCAGGTGCGCGAAGATGAATAGTTTTATATATATATATATATATATATATATATATATATATATATATATATATATATATATATATATATATATATATATATATATATATATATATATATATATATATATATATATATATATATATATATATATATATATATATATATATATATATATATATATATATATATATATATATATATATATATATATATATATATATATATATATATATATATATATATATATATATATATATATATATATATATATATATATATATATATATATATATATATATATATATATATATATATATATATATATATATATATATATATATATATATAACTTCGTATATGTAGCTATACGAAGTTCTGTCTCTTCTCGGGCAGTTGAATTACATATTTGAAAAATCAAGTTGGAACAGTTGATTCAGGTGAATGACGTTTCTCTGGATTGTTGAATAGCCATTGAAGGTTCTCGCGACAATCTCTGCACTACGAAGTGGACAAGAATGTTGTACAGACTACGTTAGCTCAAAGATTAACTACGCGGATCACCCGAGCTTGGTTTCTAACGCTAATTGTCTATGGTATTTGATTAGAATGTATTCTATATGATGTCTCAGTCAGCCGTCAAATGAGCCCTCCTGCCTCTAATATTCCTGAAATGTGTTGAGCGTCTTGATACGAAGTGGGGAACAAAACATGCAGTGTACCACCAGTATTCAAAAGCGTTAGTTAGCCAAAACGCGACCATCTAGCTGGCTCAAAGGCCGTGTTTACGATGAGAAGGCTCAGGGACTAGAAATTAAGGAAAAGTGGTTAGTTGATGCTATGGCCATGCAATAGATCAATAAAGTAGTCTAGAACCCGAGAGATGAGGCATCCTCTTCACCCGTTGAAGTGCGCGTTAGGCCAGCCTCATGGTGCTAACCTGATCCACGCTAACGCTCTCTCTCTGCTCTCGCATAGAGCGGCTTAGCAAAACGGCACACAAGCAGTCGGCCATTGCTCACGATGCAGACACAGCGCCGAACCTTCGTTAAAATTTGGAAACACGCACAGGCTTTTAGCAAAGGCGTTATTCTTTCCATTCTAGCCGGAGGCTGTTAACTGTTAGGTGATGCAACAGAGAAATTCCTCTCAACATTTTGACTGACTCGTGTTTGTCTTGTTAAAATAAACGTTCTATGATATACCTGGCGTAACAATTGCAGACAGATTGTCATGGACGTATACTTTTTTATATGTGAGGCCGATGACTTCATTTGGCATTGTATTGTTAAAATTTTGCTGGAGATTACATCCACTGAAGCTCGTAGGCTGGATCATCGCCTCGTTTCAACGGCGGTGGTTTTCCGGAAGGCACGTCTTTGGCTGAAAAGCCAAATTTATCTCACGCTCATGCATCCAGTTTAAGCTCAATGTATAAGGAATGTACGTTTTAGTGCGGTAGTGCCGTCGAGATGTTTCAGTGTTGCTCAAGTCAATTCATCATATGCTCCTCCTCCGGATAGCATCTTCCAGGCGCAGTATTCTGAAATTGAACGCTATGCCTATTACTATTTTAGACGGATGAAACATTCTAGACCTGCTTTGAAACTGAAGAAGCGGTGTTCAGAAGTAAATGATCAGGCTAAGAAGATGTTAGACTTTCATCTCCTTTTTCTATGGCGCACTCCAAAGCAGAGAGCTTAGTATAACATGCAGCTAGTTGTTGTGCCCTGGGGGCTCTGGGTGAAATGTGAAGAGAACGTTTCGGCGCTATACGCCGCACTAGGATGCTCTGACGACTGTTGCCTGCAGCGGCCTCTACTGACCCTCACCCCAACCCTAGCACCGGATGGCTATGACATAAATGAACAGAGCTAATGATTACAAAACAGAATACTGGTTGTTAAGATCTACATGACAAATGCTAACAATAGATAGCATGCTCTGCGACAGACAGAAAAATGATAGAATGGAAGAGGAAACCTACGAAGACGATCGGGAGATAAGCGGAGAGTATGCTGACCAACCCTTTGGCTCACGACGGTGGAATGGACGACTGCTCCATACGAGCAGAGGACTTCGTGGGAGCAACCACTCGGCTAGACGACAGAACAACGACTAACTTCTGGTAGAGCGCGATCTTGACAGACAAGTAACCTCCTGCGCACTGCCGATTGCATCATATGAACCGTGAGAAAGTCGACTGGAGCGCAGCTTACGAACAGCGATACTATGAGCGAAAAAAAGGTTGTGGCGATAGCCACAACAAGAGCTTTGAAGAACCAATAAAAAGACAAAGACAGCATCTGCAAGACTAACTGACGCCAGGATAACTTCAAAGGCTAAATTTCATATTACTTTCTTAGTTCGAACTCCCAAACCTCGGAGACAGAGAAAGAAAGTGAGGTGGTGTTGACGCCCGGTGGCAAGTACCAGTGGAAACTTCTGATGGATTGTCGGGCAACTCTCAATGACTAGGGATGTACCTTGATCATTCCACTGCGTTATCACTTTGAGAGAGGAATGTTGCAAAGAAATCACAAGTAACTTTTTTGTAAATGCAGCTCATAAAATAAATCTACCTCTTCCAGTGCCGACTTATACGGATTTCTTTTGAAAATACGAAAAAGGTCGTCCCATCTACCAGCAAACTCAAACTTTGTTTCAATTAGTTTTTCGTCGGCCAGAAACCGCTTCATTTCTTGTATCGTCTGTAATAAGTACCTTGAAGTGCACGACCCTGTTTCACAGAATAAATAAACAGGATGAATCAAAAAATATCACGCCTCCACCCCACTTCCCCAGGTCCTAGGTTGGCTGAGAACCTTATCCCTGGTTACACTTTGTGCATATTTCGAAAACGATCCAAATGTGTAAGTCGATTCCCCCGAACACAATCCAGTGATTCGCTAGCGAATCGCCGGATATGAGCGTTGCACCAGCGAGCTGTGCAACAGATCGAACTCTATGCCAGCGGATCGAACGATGTACCTGTGACTCAAGATGTTTGCAAGTGCTGGGACCCAACGTTTAAAGGAAGTCCCGCCACTTTCAAACAGTGTGTTCCTTTAAAGTGGACTTCCTTCAAACGTTGGGTCCCGCCACTTTCAAACAGTGTCGAGTCGCTGGTACATCGTTCGACTCGCTGGCACGTCCAATCCGCTGTACCCACGCGCTCGTGTTCAGCGCTATTATCGGCTGATTTCGCAAAGTCGATATTCGGCCTTAGGGCCGAACGATTCGCCAGCTTGTAAGATGTAATGAGGCGAGAGGTTATTCGTATATTCAGTCTAATTGAGTCAGTTTATGGCGTCTGTCGAAGAATACTTGGCGGTAGCCAGATTTAAGTGTCTAAGGCCAAGTCAACGTGCCCGTTGCGCAGTCTCAACGCGAGCACGTGAGAGATCCTCACCGCACCTGTATGGGCGCGAAGCACAGACGGTCGAGCGAGTGTGAATCTTCGCTGCGAAACGTATCAATGTGCGACAACTGGCGCAACCAATGACTCGTTGAGAACGCCGCCAACCACGTTAACTCTGCTCAGCGAATCGATCAACTATTATTTGATCATATCCATAAGCTATAATTATGCAATTTCCTACTTCTACACAATTCACTATCATGATCTACTCACCCCGGGTTTAATCGATACCACTGATCTCTCCCTCGCCATCCTTCTCTTTTGATTACTTTGTTTTCTACTAGGTCTATAATAGGTCCTATACCCAGCAAAGGTTACCGTCACAATGCAGCCTGAACATTATATACAGAAAGAAGCCACATAGCTTAATACATAACACCACAAAAAGTGTAACAATAACGCCTCTACTACCATATCATTAGGAACCAAAACTAACTCGGATTCTAATCGAACCCCATTCGACCATTAGACTCACCGAGATATTGAATAGTAGTGGATCTAATAGAAATATGACGACCAAAGCAGTAACCCCCTAACCCTCATTTTCTATCGATTTTTACTTTCTGCCAGGGGCCGGGTGCAGCAAGCCCCAACGAGGGGATGGGTCCCCTAAACTCTGCATCTCTGGACTCTTCCCCTATTCTTAACCACGAGAGTTGCGTCATCGACAGAGTGGAGACACAGAACTTTGGGGACCCATCCCCTCGTTGGGGCTTGCTGCACCCGGCCCCTGGAAGGCTCCGAATACTCAATTGTGACATCACTGCACGTGATGTCATCAGCAGCTATGCGCAAGTGCCCTGGTGAGTTTTTCTTTCATCTCCACTTGGTCGCTGCTTCCCTGCTTGCCGCTATCTCGATTTCAACAATGAACACAGAATCAAGTTGAAACACCTTCTCCGCGAAGTCTTCGTACCTCATCGCTCGTGATGCGCGCTCCTCCCTATATCGGCCTCCTCCCATGATTGTGTGTATTGGGCCGCTCAACTACTTTTATTCTCTCACACATCTACCACAACCTTACATTTTATGCACGGTATCATGATGAACAGTTAATATGCCACCCATTGCTTGAATATCGCGACGTAGCGTTGTCCTTGCTTGCTTCGCCTTTTCCGCACCGAGCCTGACACGCGAGTTCTAGCGGTAGAAAATGACGACTGAAGAAGAAGCTGCAGCGCCGGTGAACTATTGAAGAGCGCGCGCCGCTACGCAATGCGAAAGGGCACCCGACAGAGCCCGTTGCACTCAGGAGGCCAAGACCAACGTAAAGATAGTCCAGCGTCCTGGGATGTTAGAGGATGAGCCGCAGTGCGTACTGTGGCGATTCAGCGTCAATTGAATAAAGTGTACTATAGAACGTTCCACATCGCAAACTACGTGTTGCGACTTGTTCGCCAACCCGTTGCATCTCCGTCTGGCGGACCTCCTGTCGGGTACCCTTCTAAGTACACTAGCACCAAAGCTGCTCCTGAAGAAGAACTTCAGCTAGTATTGTCGTTGTCGAGTAGTCCTATTCGGAGAGTCCAACACACCCAACAGTCCTAGTCGTCCTAAGATTTAGCCTCGGGAGGCCTAGAGCAGTAGCGTGTGAGCAATTCTTATCCACCCCGAAATTCATCTTAACCCAGTCCCCACCCATAACGGTGCCTTCCCTCCTAAGTACGGGTACCCGATAGGAGGCCCTTGGTGCGGCAAGCAGGCAGAGTTATCGGACGTCGCAGCCTGCTGCGCGATTTGGGACGTGTTGGGGACCTCTATTTTGGGAAACGAGAAGAGCGTCGAGTGCAGACCACACACCACAAGTGACGACGGCCAAGAAAAAGTGGCTTTTTTTCTTGGCCGTCGTCACTTGTGGTGTGTGGTCTGCACTCGACGCTCTTCTCGTTTTCTGAAATAGAGAGTACATTCTATTGATCTTGACGTGAAATCACTGCAGTACACGCTCGTTCGCTTACTCTGCCTTCTTGATGCGCGACGGGCCTCCTGTCGGGTATCTCTCTAAGTACACTAGCACCAAAGTTGCTATTGAACAAGAACTTACACTAGTGGGTGATCCTACCCTCATAATTTTCGTTGAATAAGAGCACAACGATGTGTTTCTGTTTAGCTTTATAGACCTTACCTTCGGAAACATCTTTTAAACTTACCGCATAGAGAGCCATGGCACGATCGAGTCTTTCAGCCTTGTCTCTTCGTATACGATTTGCTTTCTTCTCTTCGGCATCCGATCGCGTTTCCTTCTTCTCACCTGTGGCATCAGTTGCGCCTTGCGTGTACGCTGTCCCTCTACTTCCTTCATTGTCCCTTTTTGAATCGCGTTTAGATTTGCGTTCACTCCTCTTAGACCCCGACCTCTCTCTCGATCGGGACTTCAGCTCATCTTTTTTGGATTTCTCTTTCGATCGGGACCTCAGTTCATCTTTTTTTGATTTCTCCTTCGATCTACTAGACTTCAGCTCATCCTTTTTTGACTTCTCTTTTCTCTTGAACTCTGCTTGGTATGTGGCATTCTTCTTGCGTAAGTCCCCTCGTAAATTTTAGAACTAGAGAATGAGAAACGGCATTATCACCAATGATTGGTTACTCCCAGGAAAAGTGGAAGTTCATGTTCACAAAAGTCCACGACCGAGCGCAAAGTTTATGTGTGGGCTCCTGGGTCATCCAATATTCTGTATGATCAGCCCTATCTTCTTCACCCCCGAAGAGACTCCAAAGGGTGTAGGGTTAATTTCGTAACTTCCATGAATTATAGGGGAAAGGGCACATTGATCTCAAGAATAGGGCGAGAAAAACGAACCGAGAGTCAATACTGTCTACAAACCGCATTCGTAATCAGAGAGGCTGGAGCGGTGCTGCGGCAGTGGCACCACTTAATTTACAGGGTCTGTGTCCTGACGCAGAGCTGACCGTCGTCTCGGGTTGGTTTCTTGACTTTTCTTCACCATGCACCATACACGCACACTTGAGCTTTATACGAAGAAAAACGGCACTATTGAGCTATTACAACCCCAGAGGGGGTGAGATGGATCAAAAATTTTTTCGCTGAAACTTGCGCTAGGGGGGTTATCGAGGCTCCTGATCACGAATATGACCTTAGTTTTTGGCGCTGGCGCCAAATTGGCGCCATTTGGCGCCAATTGGCGCCAAGGGTGTTCTCACCAAATTCGCTGTAAACTTGTGGATAGGGGTTATCGAGGCTCCTGATCACGAATATGACCTTAGTTTTGGCTCAATTTCTCTAGGTGACGCTCGAAATAGATGTCATCTAGGCGCTCATCCAGTAAGGGGGGCATCAAGTGGCTGCCCTCACCCCCCACCCCCTGAACTGGCTTCACTCCCCCTGGCTCACGGGGTCCCGTACTTCGAGAAACCTGTGTGCCAGGGGGAGTGTAGGCAGTCTAGGGGGGTGGGGGTGAGGGCAGCCACTTGATGCCCCCCTTACTGGATGAGCGCCTAGATGACATCTATTTCGAGCGTCACCTAGAGAAATTGAGCCAAAACTAAAGGTCATATTCGTGATCAGGAGCCTCGATAACCCCCTAGCGCAAGTTTCAGCGAAAAAATTTTTTGATCCATCTCACCCCCTCTGGGGTTGTAATAGCTCAACTTTTACCTTTTTGTCGCAAACTTTGCCTTTGGGAATAGATAGTTTCGTTAAAGATTCCTGGTGGTTCGTTGTTAGCAATCCACCACACCTCAGGGGGCGGGAAGGCTGGCAAAAAAGAGTTCCAACTTCCATCCACTCCAAAGCAGAGATGATTCACAATGCCATTATGCGCTTTTGCGCCATGTCCTTGGGGGAGGGGGACATCCCAGTTGGAGAGATCAATTACTTAGTTGGGATAAGCGTTAGGAGAGCGAGATAGGAATTTGATTGGAAAGATGCAAGAATATGTGCGATCCTTGAGCGTATTTATGCCCTCTCTGGGCTTAAGTTCCCAGTGTCACCTGCCAATCGAGCCTTGTGTTGATGGTCCCCCCCAACCCCCCCCCCCAAGGACATGAGCGCCTATGTGCTCAGACTTCTCCTATGCTGTGTTCAGAGGACGATCGTACATGCGATTAGGCGGTGATTTAGAAAGAAAGTGCACATATCGACTAGACCAGTAGGGATAAGGTACGGATACGTAATTTTGTTGCTCCGCGCCTAGAGCGATCACCTACTCGCCTACAACGCCTACGGGAGGAGCAAACCAATCCAATATGATGCGTGGTTTTACTCGCCTAGTTCGACTTATCGCTGATCGGCCTGCTCGCCGCTTGCCCTATACGCTTTATTTCGCCCAATTCTAATTGTTATATTTTTAATTGTAGACTATCGCCTGTTCACCTAATCGCACGTCCGATGGCTAACTCTGAACGCTCAATAAGAGAAGGATACGCATCGATTGCTTCCACCTGTTAATCGGATCGCGCATAGTCATCTACTCGACCTAGATCGCCCTAATCATAAGGTATGCTCTTTTCTTAGTAGACTAGTGCTAATCGCCAATTGCATGTGCAGGTCGCAAACTCTGAAAGTCTGCCGTAGCCTCGCACTACATTATCTCCCTCGTGCTGCATTATACGGTATTCAGACGATTCTGCACCGTAAATCAAGTAGGGCTCCTAATATATTTCCTGAGTATTTCACAATTTTCTTTCCATTTTTTTCCACATGCAGTCCACCACCCAATCTTGCTTTCACATTTGAGTGGTCCACATCAATTTAATCCTGATTCTTACCTTCAACATCATCACAAATAGTTGTAAAAGCTGTCTCCCTTTCGAAGAACAGAACTCGTCCAAACTTCAAACCCTGATCGACACCCACCCAGGGCAACGGACTGCTCCGTCCTGACTTATTAGCTGATACCAGATCTCTTCGAGAGAGAAGGAACACTATCTTTTATTTTGGCTTGCCCCCAATCACATTATGTAGGCAGTGGTCGCAAAAAAAATGAAATGCTGCTGCAGCTATGCACAGCTTTACTGACATTGGCAACAAATTAATACCGGTTCTACGATCCTCACAACCCTTTACCGTAACAATCACTGGGACAGGACAGTTTCCTTCTCTCTCTGCTACTGCAAAGAAAAACACAACCGACCTGGCAATTCACAAGCGACTGCTGCCATCAAAGTGATGAGGGAGTACCTCACTCCGAGATGAAAACAGACTTATGTGATAGTGCTTTGATAAGCTTCCAATGGCTGAACATCCCTTTATGATTGCACGGTCAACCGTATCCACTAAATGAGCTGTCGAGATTACCAAATGTACACCTTTGTTTATTATTACTGGACGTAACAACTACCAATTGTCTCGAAATGCCAGAAGGATTTTAGCGATGTGAAGGCTGCGGTCTCGTTAGCGCGCATGACCATAGCAATAGAAACACCAATGGCATATAATACTTTTATGAACACCGACCATCTTGGACGATTTTAAGGTTTAGTGGTCGAAAAGGTTCCGAGGTTGACGACAACATCGCGACTGAAATAGAATGCTTCCTTGTCGCGCAACTTTAGTCACCCTCCCGTTCTCAAACTGCTCGTTCAAATCACCCCTTACCAGGATCGCTCTGCCCACACACATACACGTTCTCGTCCGACCTACATCATATCTAAGGCTGATGCCATAGTTAGCGAACCGCACGATTCGCAAACTATGACATCGGCCTAATAGACAGCGCCTCAATGGTGCTGAAGCGTGCGCTATGAATTTCTTGACACTTGCATTCTAACGCCTCTTATCGGATCTTATCAGCTGTTATCACTCTCTGTCCCCCACCAATACATGTTCCGTCCCACCCTCTACATCATTCTAAGAGACAGCGCCTCAATGCTGCTGGGACGCGCGCTATGAATTTCGTCACTTGCGTTCTAACGCCTCTTATCGGATCTTATCAGCTGTTATCACCTTCTGTCCCCCGCCAAATATGTTCCCGTCCCACCCCCTATATCATATCTTAGAACAACTCCTGATGGCTACTACTCCGTGCGCTATGAATTTCGCGACACACGCACAAACAGACAGACATAGCCTTTACAAATATTATCTGTAAGGCCGATGTCATAGTTTGCGAATCGAGCGATTCGCTAGCGAATCGCTGGATCCGAGCGTTGCGCCAGCGAATCGAACGTTGCACCAGCGAATCGAACTTTGCACCAGCGAATCGAACGATGTACCAGCGAGTCGAACTATGTACCAGCGACTCAATAGTGGCGGGACCCAACGTTCAAAGGAAGCCCGCCACTTTCAAACAGTGTCACGTGACAGTGGACCCTTTTGAAAGTGGCGGGACTTGACAGTGGACACTGTTTGAAAGTGGCGGGCTTCCTTTGAACGTTGGGTCCCGCCACTATTGAGTCGCTGGTACCTAGTTCGACTCGCTGGTGCAAAGTTTAATTCGCTGTAACAACGTTCGATTCGAAAACTATAATAGCTTAAAGGAAGCGATTACGATAAGGAATTTTCGCATCGGGGGAGAACCTGCGCCACACGGAGCAATTACTTGGCTGCCAAGGAAGCGATGTGTGGCGCTCCCACGGCGAAAGGTGCTGTGGTTGCTGAGCAGGACCCGCGTGACGCCCCGCCCCCAGTGACGTGACGCCCACTGATTCACGGTGGCTTGGGCGAGCTGCGTTGCCAGCCGCGGCGCGGTTAGGGCGCCATGCCTGCTGCTGTTTGCTGCCCAGCACGCGTTGCGTAATCTCGTCCACGCGTGCGCGGTCTTCGCCGCAGTCCATCTGAGAGCCGCAATCAACGGCTACAAAAGGGGGTCCCATTTCTCGTTTCCTGAACGGATTTCGCTGCTTCTTTCGCCACTGACGTACCATTGAGGACCCCCTCGTCCCCTCTAAACCCCATTCAAACCTAGCGTAACCGCTGCCTTTAAAGGCAAGATTCAGGATTGAATTATGAGTTAATTCCACTTAAATGTGAAAGTAGGGGTAGGTAGTGGACCGCCAGTGCAGAAAAGAGAAAA